GTAACCTCCATCCTTCTGTAAAGTCAGGAATTCTACAAGCCTGGTTCTCATGGGTAAAACAAGTACGGTGATAGCAATTTTGATAATGACACACAGTACTTTCCTCTGATTTCAATGATGGGAAGAAACAAGGACACATTCTTAGGGGCTTTGTGGATGAGCCGAGCATTGGCCATTTTTATGCACAGAGTAAAGATATCCCGTGTATCCCTAGTGATACAGTTCCATTCTGCTTTATTGCTAATTTAAAATCTAAGGGATTTAGATGGAAATGTTATCCTTACTTTTGGATATTAATGATGATTAGCAGGTCATCTGGATCACTCATTGGCAAGTCAAATTTCCAACCATCACATCTCATTTATGTTTTTTAAATTTAAATGCTAGTAATTCACTAATTTTTTTAAAAAAACTAGTGAATTACTAGTATTATTTGAAATATATACATAAATACAAATTAAACATAGACATGCTGATGAAGAACTGCATTTGCAAGGCAATTCACATTTTCAGGAGCACTTGGGACTTTTGCTGAAAATTTAGCTAAGGTTAACTTTAGATACAGTTGATTTCCCAAGTGGATTTTGAAACTGCAAGCTTTATATAGCATGATTATATTTATCCTAACAACAAAAAAAAGGGTTTCCCCATTCCTAATCACTACTGTAAACTGAAGGAAGGTATATCTTGCATCTGTTAGGAACAGGGCAGATGGTATAAATTGATGCACCATCCCTAATGAAAGCTATGGTTACCTTCTTAGGTCAGTCTAAAGACTAGCTTAGGAAGACCCATTTACCACTTTAGTAAACTCTTGTTAATGCTTTAATGCAGAGGTCCCCAACCTTTTGGGTACCAGGGACCGGTTCCATGGAGAGAAGTTTTTCTGCGAACTGGAAGGTATGTAGTTTTGTTTGCTGCCTGTATCCCACAGATGGGCCTTTGCTTGTTTGTGCAGATGGTTGCTGGCATGCCATGGCCCGGTACTGATCCATGGACCGGAGATTGGGGACCCCTGCTTTAATGGGGCTTTGCTCATTTTTCTTTTCTTCCCTAATTACTTCTTCCTTTCACTTCATATCCATCTAGTTTTGTTTCCCCTTTGTTTCTTTCCTTCCTTTCTAAATGCATTGAAAAAAGTGCTTACTTATTCCTTCAGTTTCATTATAATGGTACATGGAAATACAATATATGGCCAATAATGACAGGATCGAGGGAGTTAAATATGGGGACCAGGAGACCAGTCACTTTATATTTTAAAGATTAGAGATTAAAACTTTGAACTAGACCTGGATATAATTTGCCAAAGTGGTAATATTTTAGACTAATAATAGTTTCCTCCAATTTTAGAGGCATGGTTCAGTACAGCAAATTCTAATAATTCATCCTAGAAGTTAACTAGCATAAACTATTTCTACAGAAGCAGTTCCTGTATCAATCTGATGTGATATAAGACACTCCATTAAGGCTACCTCTGCCTCTGTATGACAAAGCATGATGGATCCAAGAACTACCAACGAATCCTTAAACTACCAATCTGATGCCTAATCAGTTTTCTGATCTATTTTGTTTTGATTAAATCTAACTTTATTGGCTTTTATCCAATATTAATCAAGAAGTGATTCAGAACATCCACACTCTCACTTGATTTAGTTAAAAAGGAGTTGATACTTTATAATTATTTATATCATTCATTAAATTTGTTGGCTGCCCATACAGTGGTAAAATGATATTTTAGCCTGCACAGCTAGAGAGCCAAACGATTATAGGTGTTGAAAAGCATAGAAAATAAAATACAATTCTTAAACCACAACACAGGTGGTTGAGACAGTTAATTCTATAATGTTTCCCTGTTTCATCAATGATTTTTTTTTTTCAAAAAAATGTGCAAGGCAGCAACTAGTGACTGAAGGAGACAGGTATTCCTGATATAGAGCAGAGTATTTAGTTGAAGACTTTTTTACCCACAATATACTATCTATAATGAAATAAAGCACAGCAGGTAAGTCAGAAAATACTACTTTTGATGCATCTCCCCCCCCAAAAAAAGAGGGTCTAAAGTTGCCTTTCCAGTGAGCTTGGTGTTAGTAAGGGAGACCATCAGACATCCCTGCCCTCAAGACTTTAGTTACTTGCATTAATTTAACTGTGGGCATTTTATCAGCTTTTGCATGATTTATCCATCATTACGATTAACTTTTATACTTGTATTATTTTAACTCTAACTACTGGTGGGTTTGTTTATTGGCATTTTATGTGGACGTTTTAATTGTTATGCCGGTTTTGTAAATTTCCATAATTTGGCCTCTGTTGATTTGGTGTCATAGAACAAGCAAATAAAAATAAGCAGCAGCTCATACTCACACTAGAGCAGGCTTGTCGTACAGATCAACCTTCCTTCAACCCGAAAAGGTCTTGCTAAAGAGGACAGTCCTGACACCTTTCCTAAAAGGGAAAAGGAACATATTTAATAAAGATATGCTTGCCCTGCCTATCTACGACACTGGTTAATTAGCACATAACAGATGGGAATAGCCACCGAAGGGCTCTTACAAGGGATCAGATGTTGTTTTCTAATACGCTTAGCTTCTCTGGTATACCTATGCAAACAGGTGTCTACTCATGCATAGAGCAATGGGGGAACCTACCTGCTTTCCACCAGTCATTGCTGTTTTAACTATCCAGAACATAGAACCAATATGAAGGCAGTAGATCAGACATGTCAAACTCGCAACATCATGTGACGTCGTGCTACATATCGGAACTTTTTTGCCATTGCTGGCAATGGGGTGGGTGCGGTTTTGCGATGACGTGTCTGGCCCGCGGGCCGGCAGTTTGACACTCCTGTAGTAGCTTTGCTTATCTTTTAGCAGACCAAATTTTAGCTTTATGGTTCCCCTTTTCTCTGAATAGTTTCATGAGAACTCTTATCATTTTTATCCTCAAAGAAATCAAAGGAAAAGGGACTGGCCCAGAGTTGTTAAGAAGCTTCATGACCAAGGATGCTTTGAGTCTAGATCTCCCCAACTTCAGCTGAGCACAAATCCAGAGTGCACTAATACTTGCCTACATGCTGGAAAAGCTTTACAGTATCTGCCAGTTCCTTCCTACAAATCCATCCAGGACACTACAGAAGGATCATGCCAGCATATCTGACAACTGCTGGAAATCCCACTGTTGAAAAGATTGCAAGCCACTAGCATCAGAATACAGTCCAGCCAACTCACATTCTACTTGATGTGACTTGCCACAATTCATCCCTCCAATTTGTCCCACTTCCCCATGCAGATCAGTGACAGATTAAAAAGCACACATTTGCTGGGTTGCATATTTGGCTCTGCAGCCTCTCAGCGTGAATCCAGCCATACAATAAAATGAAAAGAAAAAAAAAACACCTTCTGCAGGGGTGCTAAAATGATGTGCATCCAATTCTGCAGGGCCTCCCAGCACTTGACTTGCCCCTCAATAACCTGCATCTATTCTTATCAGAACATTATAGGGTGCCTGGGTCTGTCGTAAATTGCTGGCTGAACAAAATTGAAACTTTCTGCACCACAAAATTACAGCACTGCCTATAAATACACTCCATAGTTGTTACCAACAAACAAAAATACACAAGAGACTGGCTCAAGCATCAGTTTAGTCATTCGGGCCCTGGGAGAGTTGAGACAGGAGGGGAAATTTCACGAAACAAGGCAGAAATGAAAGAAATCAGAGAAGGCAGAGCAAAACCTGAGCCTCTGTTATCCGGAGTGCAAAATGATTGTTCCTAAAAAAAAAAAAAAAAAAAAAAAAAAAAGCTATTCATTCTGTTAACGGAATAAAGGCGCTCAATTATCCAAGCCTTCCCAGCTCTGAGATGCCTTGTTCATTAATTTAACCAAAAGCGTTTCATTCTTCCCTGGACCCTTCAGCCAAACTCACCCAGTCCCCGAGACGAGGATTTAAACGGGGGAAGCCAGCCAGATCATTTTTTTTTTTCCACGCTGACCGCACGTCTTCAGTCTCTGCATAGCCGGTTACGCTCTTAATTAAAGTCATTTAGCAATAATGAAAAAAAAAAGTGGGTGGGGGGAAGGGGGGGATGAACTATCCGCCGTCTCCGCCCACTCGGGTTTCGGAACTCAGCAGCAACTCCCGGGGGAAAAAAAAAATAGCTCAAAAGGAGCGTGTAAGTTGGCGAATCGCTCACAAGAAAACTTGGCGAAAAAGCAGGAAAGAAGCCCTTAGGTTTGGTCTTCTGTTAAGAGCCCGAAGAAGGGAAAGCCGCAACGTGGAAGTAAAAATCATCCACAGGGAGGCATCACTTCCGAGCAGACACTCGCGGGTCTGTCCTGGCCGCAGCCCAAACCTGCGCACCGATCGTGGGGAGCGAGCCGCTGCCGCCTCCCTCTGCCTTTCTAAAGGCTGGACTCGGGAGGCGGCGGGAGCGGGGGTCGGTCTGCACAGAAAGACCCAGGAGCTGTCTCGCTGCTGGAGGCGGGCGAGGACCCAGCGCGTGTGTCGCGCCGCGCGAAAGCGTAAACAAGGCGCTGAGCGCTAAAGAAAAGAAACATCTCTCTCTCTCGCTCTCTCGCTCTCTCTCTCTCTCTCACTCCACCCCACCCCACCCCGCTCCGCCATCAGACATAAGGCAAATCCATGGCTCTTTCCACTTTCTTTTTTCTTTCTCTTTCTGAAACTAACAGCGTCCCCCTTAATAAAGATTGTTAGCGCATCCCAAGAGCTGCTTGTATAGCGGGGGGGGCGGGAATCAAAACACAACAACTTGTAAATTGTAAGCGTCCCTTTCCTCACGCCAGACGAACAGACGGCGAGCTTCAGAAGCCGTCTATACAGCCGTTGCTGGGGAAACTGCTGCGGTTCCTAAATTTTACAACTGCCCCCAACTCCTCCTCCTCCCAGTTTTTAGGGGAAGTTCTCACCTTACTTCGCCATGCCCTCAGTCGAAATCGGACGCGAGGAAAGTTTGCGCTTTACGCACCGCCACCAATTTTATTTAAAAAGAGCTTAGAGCGCCACTTTTGGAAGGATGGGAAATTAGAGATGACTGTGGAAGTTTTAATACCGGTACGGAGCTGGTGGAGGAAGAAGGTCCTCCCGCTATTGAGTCACTATATCGTTCAGGCGAGAGAAAGGTTTGTTTTGCGTTTTGTTGATGGTTTCTGCCCCGGATTCCAAGATTTTATTGAGTCAGCTGCCTTGGAATCAGCCAAAATGAAAGAAAGAAAAACCAAGGAGATGTAGTAAGAGAGAAAACGGTCATTTAGTGACCGTTCAAAGTTGCAACGTCACTGAAAAAAGTGACTTATGACATTTTTCACTCTTAAGACCATTGCAGCATCATGTGGTCAAAATTCAGGCAGTTGGCAACTGACTCATATTTATGACTGTTGCAATATCCCAGGATTATGTGATCCCCTTTTGCAACCAATGGGGAAACCATATTTGCTTAACAACCAAGTTACTAATTTAACAACTGCAGTGATTCATTTAACAACTGTGACAAGAAAGGTCGTAAAATGGGGGAAAACTCACTTAATAAATGTCTCATTGAGCTATAAACTTTGGGCTCAGTTGTGGTTGTAAGTCAAGGACTACCTGTATTAATACTTTCTATATTTTTCCCCCAAACTTTCTTAAACTAGACCCCAGTAGCAAGTTGTCTTTATTCAGAAATTGGCACAACAGTATTATGAATATGAACTCAATATTACAGCCAAATGTATTTTATTTACACATGAATAGCTCTTTGATCTTTCCCCACATGGTGATGTCTCTATAGATTAGATAGATAGATAGAGAGAGAGAGAGAGAGAGAGAGAGAGAGAGAGAGAGAGAGAGAGAGATAGATAGATAGATAGATAGATAGATAGATAGATATATTCATTGTGTCTGCTTACAGTTTTTTAAAATTTCAATCCATGTTGTTATTCTTCTAAACTACATCAGGATAGATAGATGGATAGATAGATAATCTTTAGTGCCATTTTTTACTGTGGGCACATTGGCACACATTAAAAATGAAATTTAGTTGCTTGTTCTCAAAGTGAGTTATAGCACCTCAGTTACAGCATTTTCCTATAAAGAAGTAATAAAGCCACCACAGGAAAAAACAATAATCATAATCAGCAAGGATAATATGTGAAGCGTATACAGTAAAACAATTCCTTTCAAATAGCAAAAAATAGAAAGAGGGAGGTTTTAAAATTGCTACAAATGTTTGTTTTTTCTCTTAAATATTTGGGAGAATAAAGGTCTTTACCTGAGGCCATAAGGATAATACAAGAGAGTGTTTATGGGAGTGTTTCATAAATGTGGCACCATCTGTTGTGATTGCAGCAAAAGATTGAATTTAGCCAACCTTGCTTGATCTTCAAGGTGGACTAAACTGGATTGGGTCTTGGCAAATGACTGGCATAACATGATCATCTCAGCCAGTTCCTGTTTAAACTACTGTATTTGGTATAAAACTAATTGAAGTTTCCTGGCTTTTTGAAAAGGCAGCCTATAAAATTCAGCATTGCAATAATGCCAATGCAAGATTTTTGAGTCACTGTTACAAAATTGTCCCTGTCCAAATAGAATGAGAGCTGGTGTAAAGCACTCCAAATCTAGGAGGTCATTTGGAAGGCTATGACAATGATGAGCCCAGGAATCTGCTTTCCTTTTGCACCTGGTTTCAATGAACTGATACTGAACTAGAATTCCAAAATGGTGCTTTGTGATTTCAATTCACTGCTACAAATTGTCCATTCAGCATTCTAGTTAAGTTTGCATATCCCTTGACCCCCAGTTTACATGTATTTATACTTACACAAATACACCATGGCTCCTTGTCTCAATAATGTCCTGCTGTGGCTATTCCACGCCACACAGTGTGATAGGAGGATCATTCCAGTTTCTGTATAGTTCTTTACAAGCTGATTTGAATATAAAACCAATTCACTTCTCCATGGGAATTTCCTGCATAGGACTTAGCTAGAAGATTATAAATAACAAATTGCACTTGTTTATCGGTACTTGATAAAACTTGTTGAACATTTCCTTCTTAATCTCAGTTTTTGGACATGTAGCCATTACATAGTAGAACAAGCTGAGATTGAAGACAGCGATAAAGTATGATTGTTTTACAACAGTGGTATCAACAGCTGAGACAGGTATACATGAAAATAGGCTTTTGAATCTTTAAAAGGGAAGTTTGTTTCACACAATAAACCTTGAAAGTCCAAAATTATGGAATATGTAGCCAAAGTTCTCTTTCTAATGTTCTACACAGCAACTTTTGAAAACTAGCACGTTTCTTAAGAATTAGATAAAATATGTTTAGAATATCCTTTCCTTGCCCACCTTGCAAGTACCTGAACAATTGCTAAGATGAAGCAATTCTGAAAAATATCTTCATTAGGTGTTGCTTGTCAAAAACTACACATCTTCACAAAATTGTCACCTAATCAAAACTGCAGCTGAATACTTGAAACAGTTTTGGAAGCATTATAAATTTAAGAAAGATGAAATTTGTGTCAACTTACACAATAAGAGGCAGAAAAAGACTGATTAAGCACATACCTCTTTTAAAACATTTGTCTTACATTTCTATTGCTGGACCATTTCAACTAATCTAATGTCTCTTAGATCATGTACCAGGATAGCTTTTTCTGGAGGGGAGAAAAAGAGGCTTAGCTTCCATCCCTGCAAGACAGAATGGTTGTTGATTCAGAAGCTTGTGGGTTCTGATAGTTTCTATTTTTAGCCCTGCATTAGTTTATTCTCCATTGTATAGAAAAGTTCACAATTTTGGGGACTGGGGGGGGTGGGTGGAAGTGATCTTGTTGGACTCAATGCTAAATAAGCAGATGAAAGCTCTAGCCAGGAGACACCTTGTACACAGCTCCATATTGGTGCCAATTTTGGATATTCCTAGACTAAGAAGTACTGTTGCCACTCACTCATGCCCTTCTTACCTCTTGTTTGACTATTGCTGTCCTTGACGATCACTTGGATTCTGCAGCTACTGTAAAATCAGAGGCATCTATAGCTATCGTCCCTATCTTCAAAATGGCAGGCATGATCACCTGACTTTTGAAGTCAGTGACCATCAGTGGGGACACTCCTGTTTGGAATGCAGTATTCTGAGTATTAAAGGATTTGCTGCATTTTGTTTGTGTTATATTTGTACTATGGGGGCTACACAGGTTTCTAGTGGGCTTTTAGGAGCAACTGTTACCTTTATAGCAACTTTTGAGATGTGACTACTTTTGAGACCACCTTCTTTTAGTAGCATCTGTCCACTAACTAACATTTAAAAGTGGGCTTGCTGTGGATCTCAACCTATAGGGAATGTCATCATCAGGGACTGAGGAAGAGCTTTACCAGTGGTGATGTCCCTCCTCTGTGAAAAAAAACCTACTTTCAGAGATAAGGATGGCACTATACCAACCAGTGTCAAGAAAAATGTTAATAAATAGCTCTTTTGGAGAATCTTTGGTAGTAAAGTAATTGTAGAAGTTGTACTCTTGGGGTAAGTTGCTGATTGGATTTTTTATATATTGTAGGTTTTAAACCCTATTAAGGTACTGAGAAACTGTAAATTGGCCAGAGTTGCTTTGATTGGAGTAGCATATAAGATCAAGTAACAAATGTTCATACTGCTTATGAAGTCCACTCTAATGAAAAAAAAAAAAAAGGCCATCCATGTCTTTTTGTAATGAATAACTGGAACAAAGGTGATACAAGAAGTTCAGTTTCACATGTGACTGCATCTAATATCTTTCTAGCCAAAGCAATTTCTCCTGCCCTTTTAGGTAACTCTGCATGTATCTGAAATGGAGTATTACAGTATGATTGAACTCTTTTCAGTAAGATTCTATCAGTAATCTGACAGGCAGGGAATGGCTACAAGGAAATTGTGTGTTTGGGCTGTAATCAGCCACTGATACACTATAATCCATTAGAGCCTAAATATTAGACTCAATTCACTGGCATTTCTTTGAAAATGTACTTTGCTAACATATTATACACATTTCTTTTTTTATAGAAGCATTATTTATGAAAACAAAGTTATAATGACAACTGTCATTAAAGGATTGTACAGACCAAATAGAACAGATTTTAATTTTTGATTGTTTGGTCCACCAGTGGTTTTCAATATGGGCATCTGCCAATCTATATGTGTCGAAGCCATGTTACACATGTAGACATAGCAATATAAATAACTACATTTATTTATTGCTTGAGTGTCACAATTCAGTCACCAGAAATGAAACAGCTGTGATTTATATATGAAATACAATGAGAAAAATTTGAAACTCTAATTATTATACCTTGAACCTCCTTTACTCATGTTCAGTTTTGATCCGAGTAATTCTTTCTTTCTTGTTCTCTGGCTATCTTCTGGACAAGATATTTTGATCTTTTGTCATATGTATGGATATAAGGTAGAAGTCTTGTTGACACCAAATTCTTTCTTTTCTTAAGATGGAAGGCCTCTACCTACAGTATCCTCCATTTCCACTTCTGAAAATCAGTAGAAGACAAATCATGGATATTTTTTTTTGTTCACGGAAACTACAGCATTGATCTGCATGTAGTAGTAGAACAGATTCACTTCTTTCACTTAACCATTTCAACTACTGAAGCATTCAGAAGCTACATAACTGCACATATTTTCCTGGAAAATGTTAGGGAAACACAACCTGGATTGTTATTCAGTAAGGTCTCTACAAGTTGTGAACAATAACCAGGAGAAATTCCTCCTTCTCTCTAAACTGGTTTCCTGTTTGTTATTTTGTTGCACATGTGTGCTATCTTGTTGCCAACAAATGAGTCTCATTACAAGAGTCCATCAGCTCTCTACCAAGAGGATTCATGTCTTCTGTACTCATGACCTGTCATTTAATTATTTGTCAAATTTGGATACTACCCATCTCACTCTCACTTTTATCATCTTACAGAAATAAAAATCAAGCAGTCCATCAGAAATAAAACCCTTTCCTTTAAAAATTATCATTTATTTCGAGATATTATTTCTAGATACATTTCTGATTTTTAGCTGACAGAATCATTTTCATGTCTATTTAAGATAAAAAAAAAAAACTCACAAGAACATGAAAAGACCTAAAATGAGACGAGCAACATTTAAATATGAGGGTGATTTGGAAATAGGCAGAGATAGTGATGCCCGTCCTATGGCACTGTGCGCAGTAGTTCAGTAGGCAGTGAGGAGTGGAAGGAGAAGGTTGTGTTGCAGTTGACTCGGCCGCTAGATCAATTGAAAATGAACCCTGCCATAGAAAATCCCACCAAAATCCCGCAAAATGGGAAGTGCGTTTCCTGTGTGCGAAAAATCTTTGAGCAGCTGTGATTCATCAAGTTTTTTCTACGACAGGGTTCATTTTCAGCCTTCTGCTTCCACTCCTCACTGCCTACTGAATTACTGTGCACGGCGCCATGGGACGGGCGTTGCTATCCCCGCCTATTTCTTGCACATGCTCAAACAGAGGTTTATTTCAAAATTGCCCTCTTAGCATCTTATTTGAAGTTTAGTTTTGCCCTGTCCCCTTTTGACAATGGCCACTATCATGACAAAATTTAGAAATACAATTTCTAGGCACTACCTCCACCACTACCATCATCTATCTTCCCAATTACACCAACATAATAAACATTATACATAGAAATGAAAAGCAATAAAACTGCCAGAATTTTTATGATAAGAAGGCATGAATGCATAACCTTCACCCCAAAAGAGATGATGTCAAAAGCGTAGGAGTCAATCAAATTATTGAAACTGACACAGCCTACAAAATCAATCTTCCAAGTAAATGCAAGACATAAATTTCAATCTGTACAAGGTACTGAAGTGTGACATAGGATTAAGAAAGCAAAGAATTGCTGTACTTAAAGATGTAAGGAAAAGATGTCTACTTGGCTGATTTTGTATATTTAACAAGTAGCTATTTGTTTATTGACTGAATTTATGTTTCACATTCTTGTCTTTCTTATTAACAATAAAAAGAATTTAATTAAAATGCTATTAAATGACAGTGAAGAATAAAAACAAAAGTAATCAGCATCTTCCATTGCCAAGTTAGCACTAAAAACTTGCTCACGAATCAAAGGCATCTCTAAATAAAATATATCTGGCTATTGGTAGAAGGAGAATAGAAAAAGGGAAGCTGAGCTGTTTTCATCAGGAATTCCAAAGCTTACGACCAGCCATCTAGAAGTTCTCTGAGGATGATGTGATTAAAGAAATGCTTTCTTAAGATCTTAAACCTTGTATAGATTAATTGTGAGGGGAAAAACACTCTTAGATAGCCAGGTCTCAGGTCACATAGAGCTTAACCAACACTTTAAATTATATTTAAACTGTGTTAAGAAACTCTACACTACTGTTAGAAGTCATATACTTTTTAGAATTTGTGTATTCTCCCTACACAGAATCTCTTTATCTTACTGATCAAAAATTAGTTTTCCACTTTAGGGACTACTCTCATTGCAAGTTTCATTGTTTTCTCTCCGAACAATAAAAGTATTACTTTAAACAAAGATTTTAAACCATTGTTGCTTGAAATACCCAACACAGATTTTTGTTAAATTTGGCACACATTGTATCTCCTTAATTTTTGAAAATTGTTATAAAGTTTCAATAAACTCATTCCAAGCAAATTTATCTGAGAAGTTCTAACTTCTCAGATATTTGGCTGAACTCTGTGTGTATACAGAATATGTACAATATTAATGAAGCAATAAACATAAAAGCAACTAAATGTGTGTGTGTGTGTGCATACAGTATGCATACAGGTAAATTACAGAACATCAACTTATTTATTTATTTATTTGAAAATATCAAGGGAAAGTTAGTATGAACCTCTCCAGAGGAATTCATATGGGTTTACCAGTGGTAATTTAAATAAATGAAAATTGTTTTTTAGTAGATCTTAACATTTTGAAAGTAAGGGGGGGGGGATAATTATTTATCTTCCCCCAGAACTGAATATCTAAAGACATTTTGTTAGTTTTCCTTCTGTGGGTAACATTCAGGAGATGACTATGAAAATATAGTAAAGCTACTTGGCAAATGAACCTTGTTGATATGTTGATAGCATAAAACTATAAAGCCTCCACAAGCAGCCTCATTTTTCTGGACTTTGCATATCAGTGAGTTTGAAACTACTGTGGGATGTCTCCTTTTAGCTTTGCATTTCCATTCTTGAACAGTGAAGCATGGTTCATTGTCTCTGAAACTGTTGCTGTGGTTGCCTTTTTTATAATCCTTCCTTCCTTCCTTCCTTCCTTCCTTCCTTCCTTCCTTCCTTCCTTCCTTCCTTCCTTCCTTCCCATGGGAAAATGTTTTGGATTGAATTCTTCAGGAAAAAACATAAGATAAGACTTTAATCATTGAACACTAGAAGGAACTAGAAGGAACTACAGTTTATAATTACAGGAGAAGAACTTTCAAACTTGCATTAATAATATAGAATGAAGCAAAATATTTTAACATTGGTTATATTGAAACAAGAATCCCAGAAATTATTTTGGAGTGTCTGCCTCTATAGCTAAATTGTATTTAAAATATGTTGTGGAAAAGGAACAGGTTTTACCTGACAAGATTGCAATTGATTTGAAAGTGGATTTAAAAATAGCAGGCTACAAAAATGACATGACAAAAGATGTCACGCTGAACGTAGAAAAGAAACCAGCTTAAATTAAAAAGAATGTTCAAATTATAAACCAAGAAAATGACCTGGGTAATTTTCCTATATTGGATTTACAAAAAGGCTTGTTAAAGCTTTGAAGAATTTTGTGAGAATGGAGAAAGAAAAAAAAAAAAAACACCAGGTTCTTAGAACATTATTTGAAGAAACTAAAGAACAAGTTTGTTAATAAATGAAGGAATATAAAGTTTAATCAAGGTTAAACCTCTGATCAAGGTTAAAATAATTATACTGTTATCTCTGGTGATCCTAAATGTATTTTTGCTGATCAGGACTGAAATGATAGGGTTTTGAGAATTTGTTTATAGATTACCATTAACAAAAAAAGATGCTGGTACTATTCAACTCTGGAGCAACTCTGACAGGTTCACAATGGCAACCTGGACAACTAACATCAACACATATATCAAACAACTTTAATAAGGGGGACCTTTCACTGTAACCCAGGACCTCAGAGAACAACCATGTCTTTAAGGACTTCCTAAACGTCATGAGGGTGGAAATCATCTGGATCATCTGGATTTGTCAAGCATTATGACAAAAAAGGCACTCTTCCTAGGTCTCAAAAAATAACATTGTTTGATTGAGAGGACTTGGTGTCCACTTACTCTGACAGCTTTTACCAGGCTGACAGAAACTTCAGGAGCTAGGTGCAATATAGGGCTTATAGACCATGTGCAATATAGGGCTTTATAGCTGATAATTCAGGCACCTTGAATTGCCCCTGGAAAAATACTGGCAACCAGTGCAGCTCATGAAGCAGCAGTTTCACACAGGCATGACAAGGCCATCATCCGCACACCACGTTGCCAGTTGCAGTTGCTAAGTGGTCTTCAGAGGTAACTCCATGCAGAGTGCATTGCAATAGTCAAACCGTGAGGTGACCAGAATGTGAGGAACTGTCTTGACAGCACCCTATAATTGTTTATAACTAGGCTATACTTCTCCTCATAATAGCACATAAAGTGTACCAGAACAACAATTTATGCATGTATCAAGTGAATAGTTCACCTAGGGTTTTAGTCATAAAATCACCTCAGAGTAAGAGGCAGAGAAATCATATGGTCTTCCATTTGCCAGGTTATATTTATTTCCAAAATACACTGTTTGATGTAATGACTCTAAAGGAGAATATTTCAGAGTAAAAAATTCATTTTTATTTTAAGGAAGAAACTCAAGAGCATACTATAGATGTATTTTTTTACATATAAATTTGCCCAGCAATGGAAGAAAAGTTCTAATTTGTACAATTAAGAATGGGAAGGAAGTTCTAAAATTCTAAAATCCTAGAATGCTGGCTAATAAATTATTTTTTCCTTTTTTATCCAATACAGTGTACTGGGAACAAGCCTGATGGGAGGAGAATATTTCAAGCATATGTCTTCAGAAATGCAAGCTATCATAACCTTTATCTAGATACTACTTTTGCTATTAAAAATAAACTCCCCCCCCCCCAAACACTTCCTTTTTTAGAGAGGAGAAAGCAATATGAACAGATTGAGTTCCTTAAATGACTGGCTATATATTGGAAATAGTTATTAAGCATGATAATTTCCTTGTTATAGATTTACTATAGAAATATATTTTTGAGACTTTTGATCACACTTTTCACATTCAGTATGAAGATTTAAATCTATAATCTGATGTTATCCCATCCTGTTTCTGCCCTGAACTTAAGTGATGCATGGTTTGTCTGAACTGATTATGGCTGAACTGGGTATCTCATAGTCAATTTCAACACTGCATTGAATGGGCATCTAGATTTCATGCACTATCTAAGTGATTTTTCTATTAGGAAACATTCCTATTGCTATTGTATAAAGAAAAAAAGAGTACATTATATAATATTTCATAATATAGTGCTTAGAAACTAGATAGCTAAATAAAGTAATGGCACAAATGATAAGCATACTAAATAAACTGAGAAAGATAAGGAAATGCATAATGATTGTGCATGTTATACCATTGTTTATGAAACAAACAAAAACAAATATGTCAGCAGATGGCCAGCCCGGATAAATAAATAAAAAAAGCTAGGGTTTAAGTTTGAGAATGAACAATAGCCTTAGAAGAATGCAGATTACCCCTTTTGACCAGACTTCCATTCAGGAAATCCAAGACATAATACTGTTGTCCTGTATCCTGTCCTCTATCTAAGGGCATTGATTCAGTTCCACTTAATCGTGCTGGCCAGTCTTTCCTGTACATGTTGTAGGTTCCAGACACCAAACAGTCACAATAAGAAAAGTCTTTTAATTAAGGACTCACTTACATGGTTTGGAAAAAGAAAGAAAAACTCCAAGATGCATATTTGGAATATGAGACAACATGGATAATTTATAATGCTTCATACCAAAAGAGACCAATATTTCATCTACTGTCTAAACTGACAGTGGTTTTCCAGGTTCTCCAGTAGAGGCCCTTTTTAACAGCTTACGCGGATTGAATCTAAAAACTTTGACATGCAAAACATATACTCTTGTCTGCTGAGCTAAATCCATAACCATGTGTGGGATTTTGCCTTCTCATTTTACTTTATCAATAGTCAGTGTTATTGACTATTCCAATTTTTTTTAAAAAAAACTTAAGGCAAAGTCAAACATTCCTCTTCAAGAAGATGAGACAACGCTTTTGTGGAGGTAAACATAGTAACTCCTATATCTTTATTTCATTTATTTTAAATGTACTTACAACATTCTTTTGTCCAGAAAGATTGTAGTGTTGTTTGCAAATATCTAATGGTTATGCCATCTAATGATTATGCCACCAGGTCTGGAATACATGATGGAGCCCGTGGGATAATTGGGGTGATAGTTATGATTTTTTTTTACTTTGCTGCTAATTTCTATTTACAGTGCTATTTATTATAAAATGTTTTAATTGCTTTTTCCTGCGCAGAATCAAGAGGTTGAGATGGGCACCCATGTAAATTGAAATAAGTGAATCAATCCAAACACATTTAAATCCATCTTTTTTTTTTTACAAAAAAATCATTTTTGGTGGTTAGTCAACAAGAACATATTAATTAGCATTGAAAGAGTACCTTTTCCCAGAGGGAGTGCGCTATTGAACTTTTTTGCAATTTTATTTTTTAGGTAACACAAGGTGTGGTATACCAAGCTTTCTCACATCAGGGTCAGGAAGTAGATGCCAATGAGATGCTCTGGAAAATAAGTGGTAGTAACAGGAACTAGCAAACCACTACTCCAAAACAAGAAGCAGGCGGGCATGTGAGTTTACAGAACACTTCTGGGAGAGAAAATTTGTAACCTTTAGCTTTTTTACACAAAGGCTCAGCAGTACTGATAGAAACACTATACTGTAATGGGAAAACATATGTTGCTGCAGATGAAGGACTCTGCGATATTTTATAATGATCATCTGTTTTATTAATCAGATAAAGGCAAAGATTAAGATTCTCTTCTCTCTCTTTTGATTTAAGAACAACTTCCTTGGAGTTTTAAGGAAGAGCAGATTGACTGTATTTAACATGCTTTTCTGAAGCATTAAAAGAACTCCTAGCTAGAGATAGTAGAAATTAAGTCACAGAAATGCTGATAATTTGAATGGAGAAGTAGCCATTTTAAACTTATCTGCCTACCTAGGGTTATATTTAGTACATAATGCAGAAAGGTAAGAAAGCAGAAGCCTTGTAGTACAATGCTTCATTTAGTTTTAGCTTGCATGCCAGCCCATTTAAAGGAAATGCATTCTTCTGCTGTATGTAATGAGTTCACTTTTTTTTACTGCATAGCAATGTTGGCGTCTTTTGGTGGAAATAATACATAATCATTTCAGAGAGGAAGAAAAGTGATGGACCATATTCTCACCTCCATTGTAGACTGCAGAGCAAGATGACTGCTATTTTTATGTTTCCTAGCAGGAAGAAAGAGAGGAAAAATGATCAGAGACTGCTTTCCTGAGCTAAACAAAATAACGCATAATGCTGTTTTATAAAGAATTGTGTTTCTGCAAATGTTCATATCAGCAAAAATGGTGCATATATTTTCTGGGTACACATTCTTCAATAACCAGTGCAATATATTTTTCCCCAAAGGTATAAAAGCAATATTTGTTTTGCATAAATTACTGTACTAATTTCTTCTACAAGCAAATAACTTGCTTTTACCTTGAAGCATGTTCCACTTTCACATCCTAGTGTGCCTCTCTGTCTGAAGAATAAACAATCAAGTAAAATTAGACTGAAATCACAAAGAAATCTCCCATTTCATTTAATACATGAATTAAATGCACTGAAGGGAAATGCAGGTTGTATTAACCTACAGTATACATGTGATATACACATGTACCTTTAATATAACCTCTGTGTGAGGAACGTATTATTTTACCAGAAGCAATGAAATCCTAAGTGGAATGTGATGGTTAGACAGCAATTTTATATTTACCATTATGTGTATGTTAGGACTACTTGTGCTTTAAAATCTTCCCTGATGTGAGCCCTAGTGCTGTGTGACAAGATCCCTTTTATTGAATAAGGTTTTTAATTACATTCAGAGTATAATACCCTCATTGTGACAACTAGGAATGAAATCAGATTCTTTGTTCAATGTACTAACAACAGAAAAACAAAATGTTACATCCCAAGGAGACTCTTTGGCCTGGCTCAGATTGAGGAAGACTACAAAAACAAGAAGAAAAATTTTAAGTCTCATTTTACATAGGGAATTTACAAGTTGTACAGGTACAATGGCAGTCTAGAGAAAATGGAAGTGCATAGACTAATCTTTTATATGCTGTAATTGGTTCCTGTATAAAAATGATCCTCACTTATGTAAACTACAAGTGTTAAAAAGGAAAAAAAAAAACAATAACTTCCCTGTTCTTAATAGGATGGGTTTTCTCTGTCTTTATTTACTTATATCTACTGAAGGCATTAAAGATTCTTCTAGCTAAGAATTGAAGCTCTCAAAAACCCCGACCAACATGGCCAGTGAACTGGTATGATGGAGGTTGTGGAATAAAATGTTTTATGCACCAGTTCCTGAATCTGATGTAATTTCTTCTAGACATCCTGCATCACAACAAGTTCTCCCTTAGTCATGAAAGCCAGCGGGGTGACTTTGGGACACTCAGTGTCTCTCAAGCCCCTCACAGGGTTGTTGTGATAGGAGGAAGAAGGTATGTTGGATAGGATCATCAATTTGAGTTATTTGTAAAAATAAATACACAATTCAGAACCAGCACCTTCAACTTTCCAGTGTACATAGCAGTCAAGGAATCCTACTAGGAATTCTAACTTTATGCCTACTAAGAATTCTGACTTGCTAATTCCAAACAAGCCATGTTATAGCCAGGTTCACACAACCTACAAAGATATATTCCTTGTCATACAGAGAGAACCCCAAACAGCCCAAGCCATTTTAATTGAGTCAGGCATATGATACAAACCCATCTAATGTCTCTTTATTTCTAGCCAGAGCTGATAATTAATTTTTATATAAAATTTGGCATCATCCCACTTTTCTAATTCATATATATTACCCAGAGCCACTAACGGGCCTTAAAATCAATACAAGGTTTTAAAAGCTTAGAAAGCTTAGACAAAGCTATTGCTAACTATAATAAATTCCTGATTTGGGGACAGGGATTAAGATAATGAATTGCTACATAATGGTTACTGCTTTTCACACTAAATAAATTATTTACTGCTTTTCACACTAAATAAAATGCCTGTATTAATTTGTGCTAACCAAGCCCCATTAACTGCATAATGATCTATGGTTAGAATAAAACATGCATTTGAACATCTGGCATTTTCTCATTTGCAACAGAGACAATTGTTTCATCTGCTGCCATATTCTATAAATGTTTATTTGGACAGAGTCCAGAATATTTTTGGAATACTCCTTAAATTTCCACAGAAGACAGGTTAAACTGAAATTTTATTATTATTGCTAACCCTAATTTCAATATTACAAATCCCATAACTGCATAATTTTAACTAACTTGTAGAACGAATATGTCTGTCCTATTCATTCCAGTATTTCATAGAAAATACTATAATCTACGTATAGATAATATTTCACACCAATAGGCAATTTCACACTAATATATTTCGAATTTTAGAACACGTTTTGAACAGTCTGAAAGAATGGCTATCCTAAGGATGGCTTCATTTATTCACAATATGGATTGTTTTGGTGTGGTCAACACCAACACCAGAGGACTAAAATTAACAAACTTTATACAGTACTAATATTTAATAATAATAATAATAATAGTAAAGTTGGAAGGGACCTTGGAGGTCATCTAGTCCAATCCCCTGCTCAGGTAGGAAACCCTATACCATTTCGGACAAATGGCTGTCCAGTCTCTTCTTAAAAACTTCCAGTGTTGGAGCATTCACCACTTCTGGAGGCAGGTTGTTCCACTGGTTAATTGTTCTAACTGTCAGGAAGTTTCTCCTTAGTTCTAGGTTGCTTCTCTCTTTGGTTAGTTTCCATCCATTGCTTCTTGTCCTGCCTTCAAATGCTTTGGAGAATAGCTTGACTCCCTCTTCCTTGTGGCAGCCCCTGAGATATTGGAACACTACTATCATGTCCCCCCCTTGTCCTTCTCTTCGTTAAACTAGACATACCCAATTCCAGCAGCCGTTCCTTATATGCTTTAGCCTCCAGTCCCTTAATTATCTTTGCTGCTCTTCTCTGTACTCTTTCTAGAGTCTCAATGTTTTTTTTACAGCGCGGTGACCAAAACTGAATGCAGTATTCCAAGTGTGGCCTTACCAAGGCATTGTAAATTGGTATATATTTCATATATAAGGAAGTTCCTATTGTTCAAATAAAGCTTAGTTTAAGCAGGAAGTGTCTTACTCGCTCACCAGACTCAGTGGACAAAGTTACACGAAAGCTCTGCAGGAACCTCTATCTACATATCATTGGCTCATCCATAGAAGTGAACAAAGAATAATATTGTGATGATATTCTAATTACTAGAGTCAGGGATTCCAGTATTTTCACTTGGGAGTTTGCCTTTCTGGGTATCTACACTTCCAAATCCAAAAGAAGGCATCTGAGGGAATTCTTGCAACAGGCTTTTGGTTTGTATTTCCAATCAGAAAGAATGGATAAATAAGGAGACTGTAGAGTGAAGGAAATACAAGCAGCAGGTAAAATAAAGCAAAGCAAGCAAACAATCAGAAATTTGCAAAAACGCCAACCTAGAAATTTTAATGCAAATTAAGAATGGAGGAAAGAAAGGCTTTTTTCTTAAGGGAAGAAAACATTGGGAAAACTGGAGAATAGATTTTACTGGTTTTAATATTCCTACAGAACAATTAAGCACTCGAAAGAAGCACTGATGTTTCAACAGAGGTTTAGCATGTGACGAATGATCTCGCATTGCAACCAATAAGTCTTGAAAACACTGAATTGGAACTGCACTATGCCGACAAACCATAACAGCTGATCAATATTTTACAGATATAATTCAGTTTCTTGTCTGCTGTGCTCCTTTCCCATGCCCCTTGTCTATATGCTCTCCAATTCTTATAGAAAAGAGTATGAATGTGATATGAATCTACTTCACTGTTATGGATTCATCAATAAAGTTACAGTAAAAGCGCTTTTGCAGAGCATTAGTTAAATTCCATCTAATATATACAATGCAAAGTACATCCTCTGACAGCATTTTAATTCTCTAGTTTTGCAACTAAATATTCTATGGCAGTGATGGCGAACCTTTTAGAGACTGAGTGCCCAAACTGCAACCCCAAACCCACTTATGCATCGTCGGGTGCCAGGTGGGTGTGGCCCATTGATGAGCATGGCCCATTGGGTGGGCGTGACTGTGGTGGTAATGGCAGACTGGGTGGGACTAAAAGGTTCAATCAATCCTAACTTTGCAAGATATTTTTTTCCCGCAAGAAGTTGAAATTGACTGATTGATTGAACCTTTTTTTTTTTTTTTGCCTACAGCGGCAGAGACCTAAAGCAAAAAGGTTTTATAAAACCCAGCTGAAGGGTGGGTGTGCCCATAGAGAGGGCTCTGAGTGCCGCCTCTGGCACCCGTGCCATAGGTTTGCCACCACTGTTCTATGACAATTTGATGCCAAATCAACATTTCTGCACCTTTCAGAATTTAAAATCTAGTAAGAAATAAAATAATGGCTACTTTTTCATCAGTGATAGCTGCCTACTGATGTAGAGGCACTGAAACACTTATTTTACAGTTAAATTTACTTTTTTAAAACTATATTTTTCAAAAAGGGGAATTAAAGCCAGTGAAATAACTGGTCTGGTCGCTTCAAAACTGAGGCTTTCATAGCAATATTTTTTTATACGTCTGGCTGTTTATTTCCAGATTTTGTCATCCCATGCAATACTGTTCAATTGTGCTTAATTATGTTTTATTTTCTCATTAATTAGAAGGCAAAATTATGTGGATGTATGACACATGGGGGAGGAAACCAGTGACATCTAGTAGCAAAGGCTGTGGGTGATGAGATTAACAGGTTTTGTAAACTTTCAGAACTACAGCGTTTTTAAAAGTAGATTACAGCATTGTGCAGTCCAGTTCTGTCTGATTCATTATTCATTCATTTCCCTTTACTAACTCTTACGGTTTAAACTGAGTATGATTTTCAAAGCTGACATTTTTATCTTCAAAGAGGACCAGGATGATATGCATCATTTCCCCTCCTTTTTTATCTTCCTAAGGACCCTGCATAAGTAAGTAGCTTGGGAAATAGGCTGGTTTATACGACTTTCATAGTTGCATAAAATTATGATCACTGTAGAACCAGAATGCTTACTATTATTGCTATTGAAATTATCATTATCATCATTTACTAAGGAATAAACATACGTTGCTTTCATTTACAGGTTATCTTCGATTTACAAACTACCTGAAAAAGGGAACTTATGATCCCAATTTGAAGTTCTAAGAGTTGTCCCACCCTATGGTCACATGACAGCACTTGGCAACATGGCTGCATTGATAGCTACTTGCAGCATCTCAAGCTCACGTGACTACATTTTATAACAGTTTTGCTGAAAACTAGCACTTATTTCCAGTTTTCAGCAAAAGCACACCATAACAAATAATGAATTTGTTCAATGACTGTGGCACTCACTTAATGACCATAGTATTTACACTTATGATTGCAGCATTCACTTTACAACTGCAGCAAAAAAATTCAAAAAATCAGGCTGGATATATGACGGACTCATTTTATGACTGTTGCAACTTAATGGGAAGACTTGTATCTGGCTACTCTTTCTTTAGATTGAAAATGTTTTTTTAAAAATAATTCTTAATCACCCTACATATTTTGGGTGATCAAAAACACAGGGGTATTAATACAATCAATAAATCAAGAGCTACACTTTCGATTGCTTATTTCATATCTGTTTGAAAGACCTTAAGTGATTTTAGGACAGTGAGCTTTTTTATTTGATCAATTTTCCAACCAGATGCACTGTCATAGCGAATTTTTCACAATTAACTTCTCTTAAATATACCTGTTTTAAACCCTTCTTCCAGAGGCCCCTCGAAAGATCATCTATAAGTGTAATCAATGCCTTTTCAATCTGATGCCCAAGTCTAAATCCAGAGCCCCACATCCAAAGTTTTGGAGTAGAAACACAGCCACCTTTTCAAGAACCTTACATAAAAGGAAAGCAAGAATCCTGCCAGAACCCAACCACATGTCATCTTCTGTGAAGCTTTAGCTAGCCAGGAGTGATGGATCTCATATGACAAGCTAGCAGTTCTGAGAAACCTGTACACTACTTTGAAAACAATAAGGTCAAAGTCTTCCCAAATAACCAAGCTAGACTGAGCTTCAGTCACTTGCATGAGACCTGCTTCAAAGTCAGAGTCCAACTTATCACTCACCCATAAACTCATAATAGCCACACAATGATCAGATATTTGAGCCCTTGCTCCAAGAATGAGGCAGAAGCTAGCTATGAAGGTTTTCATGCCTTTCACACTCCTATATCCCGCTTGTTAGCAGAACCAGCTTTGAAGGAGAGGAAAGTTAAATGAGTTTCCCTTTCTTTTCCCAAAAAGTAGCTGAAAAACACTATTTTCCAAATGAGGATACCACAATACTGAACAGTTTGTGTGGGTGAAGGATGAGAAACATCTTTTGTATGTATGTATATAGAAATATGATTGATATATATGCAAAAGTATAATGAACCCCAAAGTTCAACACATATCTAGTGGGACTATTTTTTAGATATATTTCAGCACCTTGAAGCATATTTTAGTTCGCTGTTTTAAAAAAGAAATTATCAGAATGTCGGCTGGGTCCCTGAAGGACATTTTGAACTTTCATGGCAGAACAACAAATACAAATATGCTGTAAGCATTAAATATGTATTTTCTTGTTCTGCCTGAATACAATCAAGGAATTTATCGTTTAGCCCAAGGGTTTGGGGCGTTGTTGTTTTTTCAGACACCGAACAATGTAGAGTCATGAGATAATGTACAGCTTCTAGCTCAGAAAATTAATAAATCATGCATTTAAGCTATGAAAATATACCACATAAAAGTTGGCATCTAGTATTATAAGGGTGGTGTTCTACAAGCACATTGGGGCCTTCCATCAGTTTTCTCAGGTACATAGACCCCAGTTTTTTCTCAGAGGATCTTTCACTTTCAAGTACAAATGGTTCCCCAGGTGGAAAATAAAAATAATTTCCTCAACAGAATTGCCTCAGCCAATAGAATGACACCATTGAACACAACCCAAGCTATTTTGATTTGGAAATGAAGAAGCTTGTAGACCCACCAATCAATTTTAACTCAATTTGGAGTCTAGCAAATATAGTGTGGGGCAGCTCACTACAAATGATTGCCTTCCTCTTGTCAGATTTTTCTTGAAAAATTATTTACATAATCTCCTTAGCAGATTGTTTAATGTCCTAAAGAAATCTGCACAAGTCGTCTCTCACAGTGGATCAATATTAATGAATTTCAAGATGCCAAAAACTATAAAAAAAGAATCCCACATTATACAGCTCATTTTTAAAGGTAAGGGAAATACAATCTGGGGTTTTTTTTTTTCTTGCAAAGGAACTAAATTTAAAACAGTGTTTTAACAAAGGGGAATCCAGTCCCTTAGGTAGTTTTTAAACTAATTGCATTCTTTATTTATTTCAGGGGAAAGCACAAATAAAACTTGCATGTCAATAATTTCAAAAATACAACCTGTATAGATAAGGAAAACTTTAACGTATATAGGATGTTGATGCCACAAAAGTAAAATGATGAAATAAGTATGACATAAGACATTTTTGCTCAAACAAATAAGTTTCAAAGCTTCTGTAACATTGGAAAATTCCTGTTCTGTATCTTAGATTAAAATGTTTACATTAAGGTATATCATACAAAAGAGCAATATCAGAAAATTTTGTAGTTTTTAATGCCTGTTCTCTCACTCTTTTTATGCATAGTCTATGCATAAAAATAAGCCATAGATTTATATGTTGTATAAATCTATGCCAGTCCATTGTCGCTTTTCCAATTCTTGCTCTTTTTGAAAAGTTTAAAGTTTCCCTGATTTTTTGCATTGGAGAATATTTTAATTTGCACAAAAAAATATGTGTCCTATAAATGTATTTTTCCAAAGGTAAATGAAAAACATATAACATCAAAATTTTCTGCTCATTTTATAAATCCTCAATATAAAACTAGCACATCAGAAAGAACATAAAATATTACTGTCATCGATTTTTAAGGTGACTTCAAGTCATTTCACATACAGTATTACAGAATGCAGTGTGAAAATGCTTCACAAAGTATCTCATTATGCCTCAAAAGGAAATAATGCTATTGTATAGTATGTAACATGGGCTAAGGAGGAACTTTCAACGAATCAGTGTTGAAAGAGGTCACATAAGCAATTGCATCGCAAAGACTGTTGTTAATTGCGAAGTCGTGTCCAACCCATCGCGACCCCATGGACAACGTTCCTCCAGGTCTTCCTGTCCTCTACCATCTTCTGGAGTCCATTTAAGTTCACACCTACTGCTTCAGTGACTCCATCCAGCCATCTCATTCTCTGTCGTCCCCTTCTTCTATTGCCCTCAATCTTTCCCAGCATTAGGCCCTTCTCCAGTGAGTCCTTCCTTCTCATTAGGTGGCCAAAGTATTTGAGTTTCAACTTCAGGATCTGGCCTTCTAAAGAGCAGTTGGGGTTGATCTCTTCTAGGACTGACCGGTTTGAACGCCTTGCAGTCCAAGGGACTCGCAGGAGTCTTCTCCAGCACCATAGTTCAAAGGCCTCAATTCTTTTGCGCTCAGCCTTTCTTATGGTCCAACTTTCACAGCCATACATTGCAACTGGGAAAACCATGGCCTGGACTATACGCACTTTTGTTGGCAGGGTGATGTCTCTGCTTTTTAGTATGCTGTCTAGATTTGTCATAGCTTTCCTTCCCAGGAGCAAGCAAAGACTAGACATAGAAAATATCCTTGAAGGCATTTACAATTCCACTTCTTTAGGTATGTAAAAGCTCCTGAATATACACAGAGTTTAACATTTCTTCTGAGAAATTATTTTTATTTGGTTCTCATTCACAATAAAGGACAGAGAATGGCAGCCATAATAATCATGGCAGTGATATGTATTCTGAACTTTGAGGGCTAAAATAGCTATGAACATTAATATTAGGGAACCTTCAAAAATAGACAATGGCCATGCACGCATACACACACACACACACGCAATCTAATCATGAATGCTATAACACTACAGCATTTTTTCATATTACTTAATTAAGATAGAGACACATCATAGTCATGGCTATGGGAACTTTAGAACTCCAATCTATCTTGAAAAGCCCTCCCTGGGGACTGCTGGGGGGAGTTGTCTCTCTTGCAAATGTGCAGTACTGGTGTGTATGGTCTTCTCAAAAACATCAAGTGCTTCTGCAATTTCCTTTTCTTTGCTACAGACTCCAAGAGGGCTACACAGATTTGTGATCTTTAAATTAAGTGGTATTGATTTTACTAGCCTATTTCTGATTCTGATTTCTGATTCAACTATTTATTAAATAGAACACAGAGTAAGGCTACTAGATCTGGGGTTGCAAAAATTCAGACACCATTGGATAGCAGCAAAGAGATACAGAACACTTCTTTGCTGTCATCTAGGGCTGATCCAGATTTTTGGATCATCCCTCAGAATGAAAGCATACAGTATAAAGGGATAGATATTTCAAATAAATCGGCCAGCCAAAGAATAACTTTGAAATGTAAGCAATCAATTCCCTTCGATTGCTTGCACTTCAATTTTCGTAGTCATCTAAGATTTGGGGCGGTTCAGTCAGTGCATCCAACTCAATTCATTCACCTAGCAGCTCTAAGCCCCTTTCTAAGCCGGTTAGCATTAGACTACAACTCCCAGACTGCATAGCAGTCTCAGACCTTGTCACGTGACCCATGTGATTTTCTCTTCTTCCAGTGATATTGCATATCTAATCACATGGGAAGGGAAATATGGCCGCATTGGATAGGGAAGTGTTTGCCTCGCTTCAGTTCTTACTGAAAGTAAGTATGCACTTATTTTAGTATGGGGAAAATAGGATGCCGTGGAACAGCGAACAGCTGCAATCATTTTGCTCTAAAGCACATTGAAGTGACAGGGCCCAGACATGTTCGTGCTTATGATTTATATCCGTGCTTATTAACAAAGTGATGTCTAGTTTTAATCCCCTTTTCACCGTTGAAAGGTGAGGCAGGGACATGGCTAAAAAAGAAAGCACTTTTCCTCCTTTTAGGCATTTATAAATCTAAAGCTAAAACGTTCCATCAATAGTTAACACATTAATTAAAATTATATAACAGTTTTTCATCGGGCTTATTATCTAAACGCCCTGAGACAAAAAAAAAAAAAAAAAAAAACACACACAAAAACGATGGGGAACAAGGCAAATGCTAATCTGGTCCTTGTTTCTCTCCAACGCCCAACTTTACTCTCCCTTCAAAAGATATTATTTGTTCACTCTCCTGGTCAAGCACTACATATTTATTATATCAAAATATAAGTTACTAGGTGCCTCAGGATGCATCAATATGTTGCACACTATTATGGCTTGTAGGCTGTTTAGGGTTTTTGACAGCTGACTGCATCTTCCTATGCCATTTCTCAGATGCACTGTTTTATTCTTCTTTGCCTTGACTTTTTTGTGTTGCTCTTACTTGCATCTTCCATTCTTGATCACTACATTTCAGAAAAAAAAGCTCTAGATTTAAAACCCCACAATTTTATTTCTTCTATTTCAGTTGAGGGAGCTGACATTTAGGTTTCTGGTACTTGTTGCATTATTTTTTTGTAAAGGATCACTATTTGTTTCTCTCCTTCAAAGGCTCCTTCAAAGAATGTTGTTCGGCAGTTATGCCAAGAGTGCTTTTCTAGTTCAGGAATTATCTCTGAAAAACTCACTGAAAGTACCTGTTCCAATCTCTCAGTAACTCCCAATGAAGCAAATCAGGTAAGCTGCTGAAATATGTTCAAGATTCTATGAATACTTAAGGATACACAATATTTTACGGAGAAAAGCATTTGTTTACAGCATTTGTTTCAGTACTTCTGAAGCAAATAAGAAGCACTCCAAGTTATTTTATAACAACAACAACAATAGTTAATTTGCCAAATTGGCAAAGTTATTGAAAATGACCCAGTCAAGATTTTGTGGGAGTTTCGAATCCAAACAGACAGACATCTAGCCGACAACATTGTCGGACATCACTATTGTGGAAAAGAAAAAAAGTCTGGTTCATTGATATTGCAATACCAAGTGATGCATGAATTGAAGAGAAACAACTAGAAAAAATATGAAATACTGTGATCTGCAAACTGAAGTTGAGCAGTTGTGGAGGAAGAAATCGTTGGTTGTACCAGTAGTAATAGGAACCCTTGGAGCAATACCCAAAGGGTTGCCTAGGTACATGGACAGTTTGAACTTATGAGACCTGAATATTTGACTTTGAAAAAAACCCACCTTATTCAGACTGCCTATATACTCAGACATTACTTTAACAGCTCTTGGGTCGGTGGTTAGGACTTGAACTGTTAAGTTTTTAACAGTCCCAGACTGTAAATCAAATTGAAGATTAAATCTTAAATAATAATATACTTAATTGCTGTTAGGTCCTTGATTAGAACTTGCATTCTTAAGTTTTTACCAATCCCAGACTGTATATCGAATTGAAGATTAATAATAACAACAACAATAATAATAAAGGAAAAATAAAGGATAAAAAATAAAAGCCTAATAGGGAACTGGACAGACATAGATTACATAAATTGATGTGTTTTGTTTCTTTAAAAATGCATAAAAGGCAAAAGAAGAAATGTTTTGTTAAATGTATTGTGAAATCCTTTATCATTTTTCTTGCAGTTAATCCAGTCTTTGCATAACCTTACAAGGCACATCGTTTACCATGGCCTAACATTGCAAGAAGAAATTCTCTGTCTCTTTCCAGAAGGATTTCACCAGAATCTTAAACATCTTGTAACCAAGATAATCCTGGAAAATATGTAGGTTTCAGGTTTCTAACTTTGGGCAGAGACAAAGGGATTCAGTTTGAGGCTCATGATAGACCATGACTTATGAAAGTTAATTGAGATTTGATAGGTTAAACAATTGCTATGGCTGATGTATCATCTCTGGAAAATGAAAACAAGCAAAAACACCCCTTAATGTTTTTCTATATAGTACCAGCCTGAGCTGAAGTTGCAGGCAAGTCTCATGATTGTAACTCTGAATTCTGACTAACTAGCTGCTACACATCTATCTAGACCCATGTTGTCAAGAAGCTACTAGTATTTGCAGCAACCACACATTATTTTGAAACACACACACAGGTATTGTTTGTCACATAAGGGAAGGGCTTCTATTTCCATACCAAAGTATATACCCTTAACCCCTCGGTACAAAAAGGGAAACTAGTAAGTTCAAGGAACTTGTCCCCATCACCCCAGTTATATGCATTATCACACATACGCTGAAGACATAACCTGGGGATGACACATGCCTGTTGGCCATGTCTTTTTATGCCAGTCTTTTTCAGAATGTTACCCTTAAGATTTGTTGGCGCTCCGGGTTATAGAATTTCCTGCCAGCATAGCAATTGACATATTTCAGAGTTTATTATAAGATTCTATATTTTTTTATTCCAGGTCATGTAGCCTTGCTTGAGCAACTCGGTGTAATTTTTATAGTAAATTAGCCATAGTTATTTAGATTTCATCCATTGCCAATTTGCCCTTTCTTTCTGGGTGATTGTTTGTCATAGTATAACCCTGATTTCCCAACTATGATATTACCACTGCAAGATGAAGGCAGAAAAAAGCAACTTGTCATTCACAATAAACAAGAGACATTTGCAATTACTGACCAAAAGAAATAATTTTGCAGACTGTCAGTTGTTGACGCTGAAGTCCAATATGCATTAGATCTCTTCAGACTTCCTGGCCACAAGAACGTAGTTTGTGGAGTAAAACTAGTTTTGTGGAATCTGTTACTGCTTTCTGCTGCTATTCTGCCTTGCAAAGACAATTATATTTTTGAATATTCTCTTTCCTCTTTTTAGTTCTGCCTGGAGAAATGAAGCACAAGCCAGTCAAAGTGAGTAGCAGGATATGTGTTGGGATAATTGCTATATATAATATCACAGTTATGTAATATAGCATGTCTGCATTTAATTTCACACATTTGAGTTTAGGGCTATTTCACATAAAGCATGTGTCTAGCATAGAAATTGCTTCATAGATATGTCTGAAGCAAGCCTCAATCTTTTTTGCCTATTGGAAAAGTCATGGATTCTTGTAGTATTTGTTTCAGCGTTATTATGCCCAATACAGAAATGAATAAGAAATTCTTTAAATTCTTTTTCTCTTGAGGGTCTCATTCCATCCATTCTGCTATTCATTCTATTAAGCAGATCATCTCGGTGTATTTATTTATATATTCATTGAGTATCCATTCACTCTTGATCCTATTCTTGTTTTACCACACCCACTTATTAAATGCCCCCATTTCCACTGCATCCAATTTTTTCTCCTGAAATACCCAACTGTCATGTAACAAAAGTATGCTCTTATACTCTGCCCTTCTGGCCTATTTTAATATTAATTCCTTGCAACAGACAGCATATTACCCATTAGCTACATTTGCACTTCTTAATTTATTTCTGTCCATTTTCCTGTCTTTAGTAAATATCCTACCAAGGTACACAGATTCATCAGTCTGGTCAGTTTTTACCTTTTATCATTTGCAATCACTCATTTCTTTTTCCTTGTGAAAATCAACCATCTTGGTTTTTGAAGCATTAATTTTGAGATGTACACTCTTCATTACATCATATAGCCTAATGTTTCCTATAGATTGTTTTGGTTTCAGCATACAACAGGGCAGTGGTGGTATACAAAAGTATGTGCATGTTCATCTCTAACCAACACACTTCACTATTTCTACAAGTATTCCTTATATATTTATCCATGAATGGATTAAACAACCAAGGGGACATCACACAGCCTTATCTTAATCCTTGTTCAGTGCTGAATCATTTTTAAGCATTCCATTTATTCTCATGTATGCCTTATTTCTATTGGGTGTTGCTCTGATTACACACACCAATCAACCTTCAGTTCCCATTTTCAGCCAAATATTTGATAATGCAAGTCTATTCATATTATCATACAGTTCGACCAAATCCATAAATACACAGCAAGATTTTATTCCCCATACTGATGCATTTCCCAATGACTTTTTCTCACATCATACACTTCTTAATAATATATGGAAAATGTGATAAATGTGCTGGAAATATTCCTCTGTGAACCAAACCTTGATAAAGGCTTTTCTATATTTAGCAGGGATAAGGACTCTCACAACAATATCATTGTTGGCTTATTAAAGTTTTCTATTTCTTAATATGCATTAAAATGATATTAGTATTTAAATGACATAGATTTTCTTGCATTATTGTGTATCTTTCCTCTGGCCTAATTCTCATGAGTGGCAATACATTGACAATCTAGGAAAATGCAATAGTGATGTGTCTCTAATATCAAATGTTTGTTAAACAAGAAATAAAATGCTTTTGCTTAATTTCTCCAAGGAAGTTATTTTTACAAGAATGTGCTGCTTTATGAATTTCAATATTAATAGAGAGCTACCTTGTTTTTTGAATTAGAAATTTTGATTCTCGGTTCATATTGTACATTTCCAAACACAGGAACATTGCAGTGGCTTACTCAAAGTCAGCTGCTAGTTTATCTATTTCAATAATATGTAGAAAAACCAATGTTCAAAGTATGTAAATTTATTTGCCAGTGTGTTCTGACAGCTCCTTTGTTCAAATGTTCTGTATCTAAAAATTTCTTCCTCATCTTTCATACTTGTCTCGTTTCCTTAATTCTCACTAGGATCCTTTTATGTGTTATTAAATACTGAGCTGAGATGGTCTTTTGATCAAACTTTTTGGCTACTGAATGGAACTGTGGCATGGTGTTCTAGTAATCATTTGCAAGAAGGAAATAAAAAACAGATGGGGAAAGCAGTTTAAATTAGCAGATGAGTCATGAATTGGGGCATTCATGAAACAGAGCAGTTTTGTTCAAATTCAGGAACAAACTGTCACTTTCTAGAGAATCTATTGAGCTGTTTGAGGTCAGTAATGATTGTCCTAGGTTCGAAATGAAACAAAACCAAACCTAGTAAGTAAAACAATTCTGTCTGATCTGGTAGGATGGGTAGATATTGCTATGTAGGCAAAGTGACAGACTTCTGGGAAAAATGGTGAACTGAATAGGATAACCATGTTGAAATGAAATGCTAAAGAATAGACTAGATACTTGTAATTCCTCTCCAGACAAGGAGAAAACTAGAGATTTTCCACAAGTGCTCCGTACATTTGCTCCTTGTGAAAAGGCCACAATGGACTTAAGAGTTCTGGGAGATGTGGGAATAGTTACTAACATTGATTATGGTGAAGAGGGAAATAATTTCTTTATATTTTTCTTTTCTTTTTCTTTATTATACTCTTTATTTTTTCTTTGTTTTTATTTTTGGCACTTTCTTATTTTTTTATTTTATTTTGTATTAGTTTTTATCTTTGTAGTTGTAATTTTTAATACCAAACATGCAAAACATACACATTACATATTCAGACAATATTTGCCAAATTAAAATGAACAAACAGGTGAATGGAGTCTCACAGAAAAACGAGAAGCTGTTCTTTATTAAAACCATTTAAGATGCTTTACTTTTATCAAGAAATAAATGGAATGTGGCTGAGGTCAATGGTAGTGCAAGAGAACAAGAAATGTTCTGAGGCCTGGTAAGACAGAGTGACTACTGAGAAGAATTAATTATTTTGAGCTGGAATTCTCATATAAAGCTATACATGTTTGTTAAATGTGTAATAGAGGCAAAGGCCTGAGGTGAATATAGGAGGGAAAAAATATTCCCCCTCCCTCCTCTTATCCTCACCCTATCCCTTGAGAATATTTAATGGCTAAGAGAGAAAAAATTCTATTCATTTTCTCCATTGTTTAAGAACAAAATTTAGATCTTCAGCACAATTGATATCTTCTCCAGCCATTGCATGAGATATTTATGACAAGATTACATTAGGCAATGGTCATTAGCTTTAAATGGAGATTAGATATTAGACTTTTGTAATGGTGGTAAATAATTGTTTGAATTGCCTCTTTTCACTTTATTGAAGCACAAAACACCTCAGTTCTGAGCTTGAAATGAGATCATTGCAAGGTCTGAATACTTCTGAAATGGTGGGGAAATTATGTTGAACTTAAATTGGGACATTTTGAGCCTGAAATATTTTTATTCTGAACTGCTTTACACACCTGTCTTTTTAGATATACTTGTTTGGAAGCAAGTCATAGTGAGGTGAATTGGATTTCTTTTCAGTAAGCATGTACAGTATAGGGTAGTATTCTGAGGGAATATATGGGATTTCTTGCACTGTAAGCATCTGTGCTATTGCTGGTTTGTTTGTTTGTTTGTTTGCACCTTGACTTCATTAGTTCTAGCCTGCTACAAATAAAGTCAGCAGGATCTTCCAGAGCCATCCATCAAACGGAACTGTCCCTGGAGCTCTGACAAATAGATGAGACATCTGAAGGTTGCTATCTTATACACATGCCATTCATCAGCATGCTTTTTTTTGCAGGCACCAAAACTACAATTGTGTTCTTTCCATTAATTGGTTTTTGGAACCGTCTGGATCTTTGGCTGCCAAGTGAGCTGATGTTTGCTACCTCTTTCTCAGGAAGCTTGACGCTGTAGACCACTAGAGCTAGAAGCAGTTTCGGTGTGTGAACTAGACTATAAGTTAATTAAGCCAGGCTTGGGTGGAGGAAGATGGATGAGTGGATGGATGGAGGAAGGCGGACAGAGGATAAATGTAATCCTGTGTATTTTCAGTCCATTTTTAAAGATTCTCTGACATGACATAACTCTTGGAAATGTTACCATCAGGATTATTTCTAGGTTCTGCGCAGGTGCAGAGTTTTGTAATCCTTGTGGAATTTAAAATGCCAATTATCTCATTAGAAAGCTAGGTTTCTAATTAGATTCAATGAATCTTAGTTGAATTTTAAAAAATTGGGGTAGGGCTTTACAGGAAATTACCAAACAGAATGTTCACCACAATCTAACCCTTATTTTTTAGAGTTAGGACACAGCTGCTTTCTACTGTGCTTCTGAAGTTCTCTGTTTCTGGTCCTACTGCAATTCATTCCTTTCCTGACATGTAAGAATCCAATCAAAATGGATCACTTGGTCTGGGTTCCCCTACTCCTCTGGGGGCAAACTGTAGTGAGTAAAATTTTTGTGCTTTTTTTAAAGATGTCAAAAAGGAAGGTTTATTTAAACTTTGAGCCTTTCATGACAAATTGAACTGTCCTTAGTTCAGCCTTTTTTTAATAACTTGTCAGTCTTGTCAGAATTATGAGGCAATGTCCTTCTCTGTGAGGCAACAAGTCCAAATACTGTATAGTGACCAATACAGAGAAAACAGTTTTAAGTTTTTGAAACCAATAACAAATATTTAGAAATCAGCTCTATACAGATATATAAAAGAAAAAAAATCATGTGGATAATCTGAACAAATATGTCAGAACTGCTCTGGGCTGAATATGGATTTTGCATCAGAATTAAGAAAAAATTCTATACTTAGATTCAATAAAATAAGTAAAAATAAACGGGCAATATAAAGCCTATTCCTTACAGAATTCCATTACTACTGAGCCAGTATAGTCTTCATTGAACTGTTTTATTTCTCTCTCTCTCCCTCTCCCTCCCTCTCCTACCCCAATATCTTTATTCCAAAAGTGTGCTTCGTTTGTTTGTTTTCTCCAGGGAGGGAGATTTCTTTCTATGCATACCTACTTAGAAGGAAATCCCACTGATTTCAAACTTCAATTGCATGAAAGGAGTAATACATGCTTATTTATTTTGACCAACTCATTTTGTTTTCATATATTCAGAAAATTCTTGGCTGGATTGAACAGAGGGCAAAAGAGTCACAATGCATATGATACAGAGCCACAGAAGAAGAAAAATATAACTTTCCTGAAATGGAAAGAAAAAAAAATAGCAAGTTATAGTTCTTCATTCTAGATTTCCCCCCCTATATTTTCAGTTTTTTTTTAGAGCCATAAGGGGAAAAAAATGCTGTTTTAACAAGTTTTCGGCTGCCCCTGGAATATAGATAGTCTGTTACATGAGTGATCAGCCTAGTGTCCTCTAAATTTTGTTGGACTACACCTCCCCCAATTCTTTGTCATTAGTTAATGGGAGTTGATTGGAAAACCAGAAAGGTACCTTAGTGCCTAGGCATCTTGTAAAGTAAAGTAGTAGGATACAAACCTTAAATGCTACTTTGTAAATAACAATTCTTCATATCTTTGACATTCAAACAGTGGTTGCCTCCTTACATAATATTCTATGCCACTCTACATATGATGGTAGAAAAACAGTCTAAGCAGTATGATTGTGCAATGAATCTGTATTATATTGAATGAAGCTATTGATCTGCCATTCTTTATTTAGTAATATATACTATCACTTCTATTCAGCTTTCAAGATTTCTTTTCTAACTCTTTAACTGAAAATCTACTTAGGAAATCATGAATATGAGACTCTGTATATATGTCTACCAATAAGTTATCCAAGTGGTTGAATTTTATCTACTTAACCAACTTTCTCTCTAGGGTTTAATGCAAATGTTTTTCACATCACACTCATAATCATTTTAGCTGGAGGTATCAATTAAACCTACATGTAGAAAATCTATTATACCCCCCAAGAAATAGAGTAGGTCAGCCTTGCCAAACTTGGTGCCATCCACTTGCTTTGAACTTCCAGTGTGGCCAGTTGCTGAGGATTATGGGTTTTGCAGGTGGATATATTTATAAGTGATAAATTGAGAAAAATTGTATTCTGCTATTGAGCTGTTTACTTTCAAGCTTTCATGAAACATATTAATATAAGGGCTCGCCTTCTACAAAGAGTTGGTGAACTTCAGCTTTTATTTGGGTAAACCTTTGAAGAATTCTGGAATTGTTTAGTAAATTGGTGGTGGTTGATGGTAGTTTCAAAGAATGGAAGGGTGTGCTGAGAGGTAGAATTCAGACTTGAGTGTATTCATTGATTCATTCCATGTCCTTTCAATTTCAGTTTCCCTCCCAAGGCTAGTAGATATGGATTGGAGAGTGGACATCAAAACATCTTCAGACAATATCAGCAAAATGGCTATTCCTACCTGCCTGCTTCAACTGAAGGTATTGTCAGATGGATTTTCATGCATTGTTATGTGTTTGTTCTTAAAAAGAGGTACACAGGTTTTCCTCTCCTGTGCAGACATAGGATCGTTCATGTGGGTCCAAATCTGTGAGTGCTGTTCCTGTCTTCTAACCGCTAGTGCATGCTCATGCACCCTAGTTTTTAACCTTTTTGTGGTCTTCCCAACATAGTTACAGGAACAGTCCTTACACTTGATCTTATAAATTATTGCAGATTTTTCTTCATTGGGGAGTGGGTCTTTCGGGTGCATGATCTTTACATCTTTAATGTAAAAGTGGCCCATAAACCAGATCAAATTCTACGATCTAAGATCATGCACCCAAAAGACCCATTCCCCAATGAAGAAAAATCTGCAATAATTTATAAGATCAAGTGTACAACTTGAAGGGGAAGGGGCAGAAAGTAAAAAAAAAAAGTATGTTTGAAGTGGTTTTGTCATATGAGTCCTTGACCCTGCAACCACAAATATGAACCGGAAAACTTGTCATTTAAATGAGGCACTTAACCACATTTTACAACTTTTTTGCCATAGTCATTAAGTGAATCACTATGGTTCTTAAGCATCATATGACCTTGACTTATGATCTTCCCTGCTGGCTTACCCACTGACTTTGCTTGTTGGAAGATGGCTGAGAAGGTCACAAATGTCAATCAAAGGATGCTATCACCATAGCAACAAATGCCAAGCAATAGCACTTAAACTTACATACTGCACCATAGTGCATTACAGACCTCTCTAAGCGGTTTACAGAGTCAGCGTATTGCCCCTAACAATCTGGTTCCTCCTTTTACCGACCTCGGAAGGATAGAAGGCTGAGTCCATTTCGAGCTGTCAGGATCAAATTCCAGACTGTGGGCAGAGTTAGCTTTCCGTACTGCATTCTAACCACTGCACCACCAGGGCACCGAATTACAACCATATAACTGCAGGGGTGCTGCGTGGTATGAGTGTAAGGGTGAGGATCAATCGTAAGTTACTTTTTTCAGTGCCATCATAACTTTGAACGATCACTAAACATAAATGGTTGTTAAGCAAGAACTACCTGTAGTATCTTCAGAAAACATAAACGGCTGGACCGAAAAGCCATATTTAGGTTTTGTAAATAGTAACAAGGTAGAAAATCCCTATGCTAGCTTTACTTCCAACCTTCCTGTGTTGAGCTGGAACTTCTAAAGGGTAATTATACTCATTTCAGATTTCATCTGATCTTGTTCACTCTGTGGTCACTGAAAATATTCTAAGTATATTCAGCAAATCAGAATGTGGTTACTGTATCGCTCAGGTTTTAACAAGGTTTAAGTTAATTGCCCAAAATATCAGCTTAAACCAATAGGGTTTTAAAAAGGAATGAGATTTTCCATGTTGATTTCAGTGGAGCAGATGTCACCAAGCTAGGATCAATTGTACTGCTTGCATATTATCATCTCTCTGATTATGACTTATGAAGAAGCACTTACGCAATGATTAACAGCTACTGCAAAGGCACTGTTTTGCATTACAATGAAACCACATTCAGACAACATAGGATATATATGGCAGTCTGACAAGGAAAGAGAAAGCAGCTGTTTGGCTTCTTCCAAGAAACTTGTCTAGCTTTTTTGGAGCAGGATTAGATTAAACCAAAATGGAGGGAGAATGAGTAGTAAGTAAAGACAAGAATGTTTGAGCTCTCTGGCCTATACTCCTATATGTTTTGGAGAAAGTGCAGTAATGAAGAAGTCATATATGCCTTGAGGCTATATTGCTTTTATATTTAGGATGGCTAAAAAACTCTGGTTTTCTTTCAGATTCAAGAAGATGCTGGCTTGTGTGGGAATAACTTCGCAACCTCTGCATTAACAGTAGAGCTGAACAAACAAACATTAGACACTATGCTGGATGGTCTAGGGAGGATTCGGGATCAGCTTTCTACTATTGCAAATAAATAATACTCTTAGTAAAAAGAAAAAAACCCTGCATCAGCCATTTGTATGCGTAAAAATATTTCTTTCTACCGGTAACCTGAGTATGATATTTCATAAGGATTCGTTTAGCCATTCTATTTTCTTTCACCACCTCAAGGGCTAAACACAGTTTTAATAATCTAGATATTCTCAAAGAAGATTGTATTTTGGGTACACTGCCTAAAATAAGCTTATAATGTCAGTCAGGGCCTCAGTTTGCATCTATTGTTATAGAAGTTCAAAACTGTGGTTAATAGGAAAGTTTTAACGAAAAAAAAGGAGCAGCCAGTGAAGCAGATTATTTCCCTGGACTAAAATTGCACCACACAAATGCAGCTAATAGACTAGCTTCCAATTCACACATACTTTTGCTGAGGAGCATGTCACCAGAGATATTTCCTTTTCACGGATGCATCATTTTTGACATAGGACAACTGTGGGACTGTGTGTTTTGTCATTGCAGAATGTCATTTTTCAGTAAGCCAACTCCTGTTGTTTGCCAAAAAACTCCAAACCTTGTAGTAGCAAAAAATAAAAATGGAAAGTGTCACTTCATACTGATTTTAACAAGAAATGAGAACCGTTGCAATTTGGATATACAAAATAAAATTCGTAATAGTAATTCTAAGTTCCTGTAGCAGCAGTGCCATTGCAGCACGTATAAAATATTAAGATTTCATTAAAATACATACATTCTAACAATTGAACTTTATCTATTTTCATTTATTTTAAGCAAGTTATTCTCAAGGTGCCATGAGAATAGATCTATTTTGCATTTTTTGTTTAACTAAGCCTTAAAGTTATATTCCCCCGGTATTTTCAATTATCCAGTTTCATGTTGTGATATTTATCCCATATTTTTCCCTGTGTGCATGAAGTGTGTATACATTTGGTTTTCTTTTCTTCCTAAGGTGATTTCACTGAACACTCACATAGCGATATCAGCAGAGAATACCTGGCTAGTTTCTACTCTGGAATCTTTCAGATGTGATCCTACTTACATGAACTTTTCCCAACTTGGTGCCTTAAGAAAAAATCTGAAGTCATTCCTGGAGGCATTTGGATGGTAGGATTGAAGCTAGCAAGGCAGGAACCAGCACAGTTTGCACCAGTCAGATCTATTGGAGCAGGGGAAATTCCAATCTCAAGAGCGGAATAGAGTGGCCCAAAGTCTTAAGATTTAAATCCCGAATCTGACATAAAATGGGCTTTAATTTCTGATTTCCAATAGGTAGATCTTCTGCGTATGGTTTTTTTTCTTATCAGTAATAAAGCAACTTACCTAGAACTATCACGTTTGTGAGCCTTTTATGACTACCCAAATTCCTGAATGAAGAGTTAAGTTTCCAGAAAAGCAGAGATGTATAATCATGCCTCACCTGAGGTTTGAATTGGTAGCAGAACTGATAAATTCAGGATGATGAGGGACTGGAACTGGAGCGTTAAATTCAACGTCCATTGGATATAGTTTCCACTGATTTCAATGATAAATCCTCCCAATTAGAAGTAATTAAGGTTGCCTCCTAGCAGTATATGATTTGAAACATCAACAAAAGCACAAATCTCTATCTCTGGGTGGTGGTACATGACCAGGGATTGTATCCTAAAAATAGTCTCTCTCCACTTCTCTGTAGGATGTTAATTCCTGGCAGAAGTCATTGTTGTACTTTCTTCTACAAAAGTCATTCTTAGCCCAGGTGGTATTAACCATTTGTCCAATATTATCCTTCCCTTGCAGTGAATTAGGTAAGGTAGAAGTTATCTTCCTTTTCCCTTGATTTTCACAATGTGGGGTGGGTGACCTTGTCTGGGATAGTTTTCCATGTGTTTCCTCCTTTATTTTTAATCACCAAAATGCTCGCAACATTATCCATTGTCTTCCTGCCTTCCTGCCATCCTGCCTTCCACTGAGCCCTAAAAATATCTGTTCCATGCATTTTGATCACATAATGCTGAATCCCCTGATTTCTAGCACTTAACGCTGGCATTATTGAAATGCTAAATATTTCTTTCAGACCTGGAAAGGCAATCGCTCCCTGTCCAGTTACCATAGTGATCGTCATACCTCTCGTTCCAAAACAAAAATAATGTCTCACCTATCACTTCACATCAGAAGTTACAAAAAAAAAAAAAAAAAGCAGGAAGGTACATTGTTTGCATTTCCTTCTTTTTCCTTCTTTTTCTCCTGGGTTGTATTTCCTTCTTTTTCTCCTGGGTTGTATTCCAGTCCCTCTATTTTAATGACCTGGCTTTTAAAAGGTTTTTTTGTTGTTGTTAAATATAGAAAAGTGAACAAAATTTTCACTTTTCTCTATAAAAGTGAAAACATAACCAGAAATAGTAAACTGGCAACCTGAAGTTAAATATGTGAATGAGATGTTTCCTTGCATTACACCATGATATCATCCTAATATTACTTTTCTCTAGCCTCCTAACACATTACATATATAATTCTCAATATTTATAACGGTTGTGTAGGTGAGGGTATCAAGAAATAATGCCTGAGGACAATCGTGCCAGATCTGAAGTCTGAACATTTTTTTTTTTTTGTTCCCAGCTCTTGGCTATGATTTATCTTGTTGGGTCTAGCAGAAAATCATTTTATATACCATAGTGAGCTGCTTTATATAACATTAAATTGTGGGTCCTTCTAATTTGATCATTTAGTATGTCTAGTTTAATGAGGTATATCTAGTTTAATGAAGAGAAGGACGAGGGGGAACATGATAGCAGTGTTCCAATATCTCAGGGGCTGCCACAAAGAAGAGGGAGTCAAGCAATTCTCCAAAGCACCTGAAGGCAGGACAACAAGTAACGGATGAAAACTAATCAAAGAGAGAAGCAACCTAGAACTAAGGAGAAACTTCCTGACAGTTAGAACAATTAACTAGTGGAACAAGCTGCCTCCAGAAGTGGTGAATGTTCCAACACTGGAAGTTTTTAAGAAGAGACTGGACAGCCATTTGTCTGAAATGGTTTAGTGTTTCCTGCCTGGGGAATGGGTTGGTCTAGGTGACCTCCAAGGTCCCTTCCAACATTATTATTATTGGTGGTGGTGTTGTTATTATTGTTATCATCATCATAATTTCTGCAATAGTTTTCATGATGTTGAGGCTAAATGCAAGTGTTTGCTTCCAGGGCATAGCCTTGACTGGTGAGATATTTGTTCTGCTAGAAATGAGCCAATGGAATAATGTGATCCCCCTTCTTTGATGTTTATTCAGCTGTATACCTCTTAATAGGAAGCCACAGTTGCTAAGTCTTAAGTGTTGAAAAGCAGGACTATGTTTGCCTGAGATGCTTTTTTTATTCATAACATTTTGCTGCCTTCAGCTGAAATTCTTCCCATTGGCATTCAGGACATTAATCCTATGCTATTAATTACCCTAATTTTCCTGCATACTTCTCTCTTTGAGGGCACTTTTGTATATAAAATGGTTGGCTGATTTATTTTCTGTAAGGTCTTCTGAGGCTGGACTTGTTCAAACTTTATTGAATAGCTGTCTCCCACTCAGTGTAACTTGATTAAGGTTTAATAATTCCGTTGCCAATCTGCTTGCAGATTCTGACCACCAGACTGGCAAATTCCACTTCTTCCAAAGCTGTGTGGCTGGTTTATATGCTATCTGTGTCTTCAGGTAAATTTAGTGATGGTTACTTGTGCTAGTATGTGGTGTTTATATGACACCTATTCAACTACTATTAAGCCAACTATATAAATGGGGTAGCTAACCTGATTTGTCTGAGCTCTATTCCAGTAAATCACAGTGAACCCTTGCATCATTGTTTCTCAAGCTTGAGAACTTTAAAATGTGAGGACTTCAACTTCCAGAATTCCCCAGCCACACAATTTAAAGTTGCCAAGGTTGAGAAACATTGCCTTGGAGGACTGACTTTACATAGGTCTGACTCCAGAAATGTTCATTCAGAAGTGAAGGTTGTTCTTTTCTTTCAACAGCTTTCCCTGCAGGATGTTGTATATGTCTTCTAATACAGAAGTGGAGACATTGCCTCTTGTGATTCCTGGATTACAGTTGCCATCATCCCTCACCTTAGCTTTGCTGGGGACAGCAGAGGAATTGGAATGTAGTCACATCTGGAAGACCATACTTTCTCCATCCCTGTTCTAATAGGACACTGGCATTTTGAAGGTCAAAAAAAGTGAAAGGAAACATTGTCTAGTTCTGCAGAATTCATCCCCCTTACATGCCCATGTTAGCCTTTGACCTACACAATATATACAAACCTGTATATTATGATATAAATTATAAGAGGATATTGTCTTAGGTGGAATGCTAATAGGAGAGGAAACAGATGTTTAATTATTACTTCTTTGGCATTTTTTTTGTTCAAAACCACCAGCTTTCTTTAAAAAAAATAAGAAAAAAATAGTACAAGAGCATATTGTGTGGCAGCAAAATTCTGCTTATTTCTATATTCAAGATAATCATAATTTGAGTCTGCTCTTATGGAAAGGATATTCTCCCTTCAGACCATTGACCTAAAACAGAACAAATAGTGGTTATATTGGGGTTGAGCAAACGAAGGACACAACATTCCCTCTTCTGTCAGAAAATATGTGGGCTGATTTCATTATGCCACAGTATGTTAATATGCAGACTCTGTCAGCTCAAGTATTTTGCTTCTAGGTTTAGATCGTCAAATCATTAAAGTTTAGGGTTGAATGCTTTAAAGAACTTGATCTTCAAGGAACTGCTATATAAAAGCTAGGCAAGTATCAGAAGAGGAAAATATATAAAAAAACCAATAGTAGAGTATATGTGTAGTTCAGAGTTGAACTGTAAAATTATTGGTTTGAGCTTGGTTGTTTGCTTGCAGACATTTCATTATTTGACTAGGTAACATAATCAGTGCTCATGAGTGTGGTTTGCTTCCTATTTATATACAGTAGCTTTCCCTGCCAGTGTTGTGGGGTGAGAACATGATTTTCTCCTGGATAGTTCCTTTATTACGGTATTGTTTTCTGCTGGACTGGCTTTTTGATGGTCTGTCTCCTTAGGAGCTCCTTGATTAGGGTACTGTTTTCTGTTTGATTGCTTGTCTGGAAAATTGGCATTCAGACAAATCAGCCATCAATAGACCCATAGAGATAAACCACATTTACACACTATGCAAAAAAAGAATAAAAAAGCTAAGGAAACAAAAAGATCAGAACATAACTTCTCCAGCAACCTACACTCAGATAAGCAGGGATTTACACCATACAAATAAGCAGAAATACTCTAATCAAGGAACCAACAAGGAGAAACCACCCATCTAGACTGGCAGGGCAAGCTATTGTATACAAACAGGGAACAAACCACGTTCATCAGTACTGTTGATGTTACCTAATCAGGTAATGAAATGTCTGCAAGCAAACAAGCTCAGAGAGCACCAAGAATTCCACAATCTCAAAAATATCCTTGTAACGATAGAAACATGCAACTGTGAAGAAGTAGCTTGGCATATGGTTTCATGATTCTGATCCGTTCAGGGATAACAGAAGTACTTAAGACTGACATTAAACAGTTCAGAAGGGCCCTGGGTAGATGGAAACAGGCATGCTTTCATGAGAAGCACCTCAGGCCTAATTCGTGATATCTCCAAACAACAACAACAACAACAAAGTTAGAAGGGACCTTGGAGGTCATCTAATCCAACCCCCTGCCCAGGCAGAAAACCCTATACCATTTCAGACAAAT